TCTCATGTCGAGGCGAAGACTTGAAAAAACGGCCACTTATGTTACCGCTGCCTTGCAGTTAGACGCTGATGTAAAAGGGTAAAAGGCAACTTCGATGAAACACACCGGACAGAATTGGGGACCTGTCTGTAAAATATTTCTTAAGTCACCGTCAGCCCTGCCAGCGAGTGGAAAAATGCAATTTCAAGCGTTAATAAATGGGCCTCAGGATCCCGCGCCTATCGACCTGTCCCAAGGTGGCGGTGGCAGATCGGTATTTGACTGAAGACAGGCCGCTAACTCCCCTTGCTGTTTGCACCTACAACTGTAGAACAGTGGCGAGGAAAAAACGTTGGAACAACTAGTAGAGGAAAGGTCAGGGATGACCTGTGAAGTACGACGGTGCAAGGAGAGGAATGGCATATGGAACGATGGAAGTTTGATTTGGATAGAATGAGCGCGAAGAACTTAGGAGGAATCGGATTTGCAGAGAGCAAAAGTTGGTCCTCCAAAGTCATCTGCCATGCGAAGTCACCAATACTGGGCGTGCAATGCCTTCAAATGAATAAGATAAATCATTTGAAGATCGTCCAAACCTATGTTCCAAAAAGTACAGTCGACTAGGAGGAAGTGGAAAAACTCCATCAAAAACTGGAACAGGTACTGGTCTCAAAATTCTCAAAATATATCCTCGTCATGGCCGACTTCAATGCCAAAGTCAGACGAGAAAAGGCCCTTTATACGGAGGTCTTAAGTATGGCACTGGGGATCATAATAAGCGAGGAAAGTGGCTGATGGCCATGACAGAAGCAAAACATTTGCACAGTGGCAGTATCTGTTTCAATAAGAAGACCAACAGACGGTAAACAATCACGTCCAACAGGGTGAAGAAGAACGAGTTCGATTCGTTGTCCTGGGTAAACTCCGCATCATCTAAGAGAGCAGCAGTGCCATCATTTAACACTGGCAATGACCAAACTGGAAAGAGTCAAGCTAACCTTCGAGGAAAAGATCAAGAGGAAAGCACTACAGATGACAAACTGCCAACGACGACTGGAGCCTGAAAGGCAGCCGTAACGACGACTACGAGAAATTCACTAAGAAAATAAGGCGCAGAATAAGACAACTGATGTGGTAACACCAAAGAACGAATCGAAGGATTACAGAAGAGACTAAGAGTTTGCTGGAGAAGGGAAAGAGCATGAAGAGAGCTGGGACTGACACGGTGAACTACTTTCATTTCTGCAGACGGAGGAGAAGACTGTCGTCAGAGGCAGGTAAGAGATTCTGAAGAGTGGAAGATTTCTGCAGAATACCGTACAAAAATGCAGATAACAGCATCTTTGATGACGATAAGGAAACTGAAAATACAAGTGAAGTTGACGAAATTCCCGCTAATTTGCCAAAAGAAATGGCCATTCAATAAAACAGCAAAGACAGCAGGGGCTTCTGACGAAGATGACATTACAGTGGAACAAGCTTGCAAGCACTCACCAAGAAATTGGTGCGCTTGTTTTCAAGGAGTTTAAAAGATTAAAAATTTCAGACGATTGGACTATCGCATCGACGATTCTACTCCAGAGAAAGAAAGAAAGGATTTGAAGAAGCAGAGGCAGATCCACACTGCCAATCACCTACAAGATCTGTACGAAGGTGCCAACGAACAGAGCAAGAAAAACTGAATGTCGTGCAGCCAAAGGTGTTAACAGGATTTACAAATGGATTTCGTATGAAGATAATCTCCAGGTAGTAAAACAATTTAGACAAGCAACGAATATCAACTTCCTCCCTTCCTGCGATTCGTCGATTTCGAGAAGGCTTTCGACTCAGTCTACATCTGTCCTGCACTGGATTCCTTAAGTAGCCAGGGAATCGAGAAAAAATACAGAAACCACATTGCCATGATTTACAAGAATGCAACTGCTAGTGTAAAGTTTCACAAAAGCACAAGCCAGCTCAAAATCAAAAAGGGCGTCTTATAGGGTGATGCAGTACCTGGGAAGTTATTCACAGCAGACCTAGAAGAGGTTATAAGACCGTCCTTTGGGAAAATCAGGGACTGAAACAAACGGGCACTACTTAGGCCATCTGCGGTTTGCTGACAACAGTCTGATTTTCTCAAC